GACAACCACCAGAAGCTCTGGCCTAACTTAACTAGTCCCTCCCTCCGCCCTTGCAGGGACCCAAAATGTCAGCGTGGAGGCGCCTGCCCTGGTGCGCGGCTTCCTGGGCGCCAACATCACGCTGCCTTGCGTGCTGCAGCCACGAGGGACTGGCGTGAGCATGGTGATATGGCAGCGGCTGGGAGACCCCCACGGCAATGTGGCCACATTACACCATTCGGGAAATACCCAATTCTCCCACCCTGGGAGGATGGAGTTTGCAGCTGCAGGGTCTGGCCAGGAGCTACGGAACGGGTCGCTGATCATTCGGGAGCTCAGTGTCCATGATGAAGCCAACTACACCTGCAACTTTGTCATCTACCCACACGGTAACCGGGAGGCCCACACCTGGCTCCGCGTGCTCGGTAAGGCAGGATGGGGGATACGGAAGAGCTGGGAGGTCAGCAAAAAGGTGGGTGGGCCTGAAAGGAGTGCAAGGATTCTAGGGAGGGGAAGACTAAGAGGTGGGCAGGGCAGAGTAAAGATCTTTAGTACTGATCGCATCCTAGGAGGATCTGGGGAAAATCTGTGTGTGGCATTGTGGGTTAAGAACTGGGTTGCTAACCTCACGGAGCAGTTCTACTCTGCTTTAGTAGCTAACTGTGAGTTGAAATTGACTAAGATGGCCAGACTTTGTCTCTCCTATTTTGAACTGTTATCAGGAGGGACCAGTCCTTGGAGAAAGAGATGATGTTTGGTAAAGTGGAGGGTCCGCGAAAAAGAGGAAGACCCCCAACGAGGTGGATTGGCACAGTGGCAGCAGCAATGGGCTCGAGCGTATCAATGATTGTGAGGTTGGCGCAGGACTGGGCAGTGTTCCGTTCTGTTGTACAGAGGGTCACTATGAGTCCGTACCGACTCACCAGCCCCTAACAACAACAACAACAGGTAGTAGTGGGATTGGTGTTTTTTCTTAATCTTTACAGAAATTGATCACCAAGCCTTTCTTCTGCAGCACCACTGAGTGGGTTTGAACCACCAACCTTTAGGTGACTTCCTCTTGTTAGGTGACGTCGAGTCAGTTCTGACGCACAGCGACCCTGTGTACAACAGAACGAAACACTAGCGGAGTCCCATGTAAGTAGTTGAGTTTGTACCACTTTGGGTGAAGAGGAAGGTGATATGAGACAGGCAGGGAGGGAGAAGTAGCAGGGTCCCAGCAGAGCAGGACTTTCCCTAGTGGGAAGACCCCAGGTCCCAAAGCAGCACTGTGATCTCATGGGTTCAGTTTCATGAGCCCCAGGGAGAATATGAACGCTCTCTCTTGAAACTTGGACAAAAAGCCCACGGACCTCAGTTTCCTCATCTGTGAAAAGGAAATTGCCATGAGAATTGATGGCAACTGATTTTTTGCTTTGCATGAAGAAGCTCATGAAAGATTCAATGCTTGGAACGATGCCTGGCACACAGCACCCAAAAAAGGCAGCTCTTGTCGTTTCAACCTAGCTGGAATTTTGACTTGTGTTCTGACTCCGATAGCGTGGACCCTGTAGGACACGGTAGAAGTGCTCCACAGGGCTTCTGAGGCTATAAATCTTGAGGAGAACAGACTGTCTCGTCATTCTCCTATAGAACAGCTAGTGGGTTTGAGTTGTCGACCTCGCCATTAACAGCCCAGTACTTAACCCATGGTGCCACCAGTGATCCATGTATGTGTGTATGTGTGTGTGTGGCTTAGAGTGAGGGGGTCAAACAGAAATGGTGAGTCCAAATACAGAGAAATCTTCAGGAGATAATAGCACGGGTATGATGAGGAAGAGACTTTAGCAAAGTTCCAGGTTTGGGAATCTTGGGAGCTCTGGTGAAGAGATGGAGTCAGGCTGTTTACAGTTTACAACTGTGAGACCTTGGACAAGTCACTTCCCCTCTCAGCTTCTAGGGCATAGCTTAGCCGTCCTCCCTGAACTCCCAGGCTTACCAACTCCTGAGCTTTCAAATCCCAGCCAGCCCACACTGGGTCATCAGTGTCTGGGGGAAAGTGTTTCTCCCCCTCGGACTGTATTCCCTGTGAGGTGTACATGGTCTCCTGGTCATTGCTGGGTCCCTAGCATTGCCTACTACTGAGCCAGTTAAAGTTGCAGTAATTAATAATAATACTTATTACATGCCATGCACCATTCTGGAGTCCTGGTGTGGTGCTGTAGGATAAGCACCAGAGTAACTGCAAGGTCAGCGGTTCAAACCCACCGGCCGCATCTTGGAAATCCTATATAGGGTCTCTGTGAGTCAGAACTGATTTGACGGCACTTAATAACATGCACCATTTAAAGAGCTTTGTGATCTTATCAAAGGACAGAGCATTGGACTGCTGACTGCAAGGTTGGTGGCTCAAATTCACCCACAACTCTTTGGGGGAAAGCTGAGGTTGTCTGCTGCTATAAAGATTTGCCGTCTCTTCAGAGAGAGGAAAAACAAATCACACATATGACTTTTGTTGTGCTTACTGTTAAGTACCATCGAGTCAGTACTGACTCATAGCCACCCTGTGGAGGGTTTTCAAGAATTGGCTGGTAAGCTGGAACCACAGATCTTGTGATTCAAACCAACTTTACAGTCCAGCACATTAATCCACAGCACGACACCAGGACTCCTTTAGGAAAACAGTTAGAAGAAAAACATACTGATTCCTCAAGAAAACTGTAGATGCTAGAATTACCTCTTTGATGTACTAAAAGAAATTATTTATCAACTTTGAATTCTGCGTTGATGTTGTTAAGTGCCATTGAGTCAGTCCTGACTTATAGTGATCTTGTAAAGGGGCCCAAGGAGCACTGGAAGGCTAGAACTGCCGACCTGGTGGTTTGAAGTCCAGTGCTAACCCTATAGCACCATGCCAGAAGTCCAAATTCTATACCCAAACAAAATATCCTGTAAAATAAAAGTGAAATGCGTTTTCTTTTCTTTTTGGGCAGACAAAAACTATTTTCTTCTCAAAAGAGGGAACAAATCTTTACAGTGAGGATCATTCCCACCCCCTCCACACACAGAGTATATAGGGATGGGCAACTTAGACATTGGCTACCCAAAATGGGGGGGGGGGCTACAAAGACAAGAAGTGACTGGCTTACAAGCTTTCAAGAGGAAAATGGAGGAATCCAGAGGGCATGGAGGAAGGTATAATCTCCACTGAGTAGTATCCAATCTGTCTAGGCGGGGTTGATGAAAGGAGATGGGGATAGGACTCTTGTGGTACAATGGTGAATAATTGCTATCAGGACTGACTGTGAGGGTTGGAAATGTAAAGGCGGACGTTTCGTAACAAAAGGAAGGAAGTGGTTGACTTTGCGGTCCAGGAGCGAAGGTCCCTGGGACCATCAAGGGAGAAGATTGGAGAGTGGGACCCTACCCAAAGAAAACAGTGACGCCAGAGATGGAGGCAGAGACGATGACGTGGAGAGATGCAGCGGCTGGGGACTCTAGACACAGAGAAGGAGAGGGGCTGTGTTCTGACGACCAGGGTGCAGGCTTGCAGGTATATGGATGGTTGATGATGCATGGAGGGGATTGTAAACCATGGCAATGAAATGAAATACGATAGGATGAATGTAAAGCTAAAGTTCTCCCAGGTAAACTATCACATAATTCACAATAAAAAACTTAAAAAAAAAAACCAAAAACTATTTTCTTCCCTGATACTGGCAGATTTGCTCTAAAAGAAAAAAAAAAAAAAAAACACCCTAAAACCAAAAGATTTTATTGTTTTAGGGACCATGTGAGGAAGTTCTACTGTTCCCTGTAGAAAGATCCTGTGACTTATAATGGACTTGATGGCAGTCAGCTTGTTGTTGTCATTGTTGTTGTTGGGATCTTGTCAAAGTCTCTGGAAGCTACAAATGGGTTGAGCTCAAATAGCAACACGACAGAAAAAGGCTCGGTCGCTTGTTCCGTGAAGATTGTTGTTGTGAGGTACTATTGAGTCCATTCCAATTCATGGTGACTCCACGTAACAGAGTAAAACTTCCCTGTATGCTTTTCTGTGGTGTTGCGAAGTGCCATCGAGTCTGTCCCGACTCAGCGACCCTACATGGGAAACCCTGCCCGGTTCTGTGCCATCCTCACCATTGCTGCTACGCTTAAACCCATTGTTACTGCCACTGTGCCAATCCATCTCGTTGGGGTCTCCCTCTTTATTGCTGAACCTCTACTTTACCAAGCATGATGTCTTCTCCAAGGACTGGTCCCTCCTGATAATATTCCCAAAGTATGAGAGATGAAGTCTGGCCCTCCTGGTTTCTAAGGAGGATTCTGGCTGTCTTCGTCCAACACAGATTTGTTTATTCTTCTGGCAGTCCATGGTACTTTTAATATTCTTCTCCAACACCATAACTCAAATGCATCAATTCTTCTACCATCTTCCTTATTCATTGTTCAACTTTCACACGCATATGTGGTGATTGAAAATACCATGGCTTGGGTCAGATGCACCTTAGTCCTCAAACTGACATCTTTGCTTTTGAACACTTTAAAGAGGTTTTGCACAGCAGATTTGCCTAATGCAATACGTTGTTTGATTTCTTAACTGCTGTTTCCATGAGTGTTGATTGTGCAGCCAAGCAATCCAAGTTTGTTGGTACTGTTTAAGTGCCATTGAGTTGATTCCAGATCATAGCCGCCCTGTGTATCCAGAGTTTCCAAAGGTTTCAATCTTTGCAGGAGCAGAAAGCCTCATCTTTCTCCATGGAGTGGCTGGTGGGCTTGAACTGCCTACTTTGCAGTTCACATTCCAGTGTTTACCCTAGTTTGTTGTTGTTGTTAAGTACCGTAGAATCAGTTCCCACTTACTTTGAACCACCAACTTGGTAGTTAGAAGTCCAGTGTTGACCCTACCATGTCACACCAGGACTGCTATCTTAGTTTATTGTTGTTAAGTGTCCTCGAGTCTGTTGTGACTCAAAGCAACCCTGTACAGGGTTTCTGAGAAGCAGCTCATCCTAATGGTCCACTAAGGGAAGGCTGTCTCTCTCTGTTGGCCCTGAAGGAAGGTCCTTGTCGCTTCTGCTTCCTAGTTCTAGTTCCTTAGAGATCTTCATGTGTCTTAGCAACAACAAACTTCAGGAGCCCCTGTAGCACTATGGGTTAGGCATTGGGCTACTAACTGCAGGGTCAGCAGTTCAAACCCACTAGCAGTTCCTTGGGAGAAAGATGAAGCTGTCTGCTCCTATAAAGATTTGCAGTCTCAGAAACCTATATAGGATCACTGTGAGTCAAAATGGACTCTGATTGTCATCATTGTTAAGTGCCATCAAATTGGTTCCGACTTGTAGCAACCCTGTATAAAGTTTCTGAGGAGCGGTAGGTGGGTTTGAACTCTGGACCTTGTGATTCAAACTGACCTTGTGGTCTAGTGCATTATCCTGCTGGGCCTCACTAGGACTCCGACTCTGTAATGCTGTTGTTGTTGTTGTTAAGTGCTGTTGAGTTGGTTTGGACTAATAGCAACCCTGTATAGGTTTTCCAAGGAGAGGCTGGGGAGCTTGAACCGCTGATCCTGACATCGCAGTCCAGCGCTTTAACCCCCAGCACCACACCAGAACTCTATGATGGTGGCTTTTAAACTGTGAGAAAATAATTTCTGTTTGATAAAGCCACCCACGTGTGTATTTCTGTGATAGATGCACCAGAGACTAAGCCACTCTTTCTCTATTTCTCTCCTTAGCCCGACCCCGGAGCCAGGCAGAAGCCCTGAACGTGGACCTCCCAGTCCACCCGGAGCCCGTGACCATGGCCCGTTGTGTCTCAACCGGAGGACGCCCCCCTGCCCTCATCACCTGGTCATTGACCCCCGGCTGGCAGGTCAATACGAGCCAGGCGTCAGGGCCCCTTCCCGGCACAGTCACTGTCACCAGCCTCCTGACCTTGGTGCCCTCCAGCCAAGTGGACAGCCAGAATGTGACCTGTAGAGTGGAGCATGAGAGCTTCAAGGAGCCTGACCAGCTGGTGGTGACCCTCAGCGTGCGTTGTGAGTGTGCCCTAGTGTGAACAAGGGCAAGAACCATGCCCAGGCTGCCTCTTCCCCTCCCCCACTGTCTACACGGGCTCCCCAGGCCACTGTCTACACTGACAGCCCACAATATAAAGTGGCTCCGTTGAGCACAGTCTGCATTACCCTTACACATCACCTGTCCCTGCTTCTCTGAGGAACTGACGAAACTGACAATAGTTAAGTGCCGTCAAGTCAGTTCCAACCCATAATGACCCTGTATAAGATTTTCAAGGAGTCACTGGTGGTTTTGAACTGCCGACCTTGCGTTACAAACTGACCCTGTGGTCCAGCGCATTATGGCCCTTAACAAGAACCGACTTGATGGCCCTTAACAAGAAGAACATTTTCTAGCAGCTACCCAATTAAAGTAAAAAAAAAAAACTGAAATTTTAATACTGTATTGTATTGAATCCTGTATATTCAAGACTGTCTTTTCCACATGAATCAGTTTTTATGCTTTTATATTGAGACCATTTACATTCATTTTTGTATTGTAAGTCTTTGAAATCCTGTATGTTTTTCAAGCCAGCCATACTTCATGAGCTCAGTCACCACAGGAGGCCAGCAGCAGCCATATTGGGCAGCCCAGATTTAGACTAAGCTTCCATGGTTTACACAGCCTCATTCAGAAATTATCTACAAACCCATACAGACTGTAACAATTTCACCGGTTCTCTTGGTCACTGTCTGATTTCTCTAGGGTTGCTATAACAAAGACACCACAAGGGGATGGCTTTGACAAACAAATACATTTGCTCACACTTTAGGAGGCTACAAGTCCTCTCTCTCTCTCTCTCTCTGTCAGCTCTGGAGAAAGGTTCTTGTTTCTTTCAGCATCTGTAGGCCGAGCATTTCATTGGATCTAGGAGCTTTCCAATGCAGGGACGCCAGGTCCACTCCCAGCTCTTCTTCTTGGAGGTAGTAGGTCCCAGTAATCTCTGCTGGCTTCTCTCTTCTGTATCTCTTATCAAAGAAAAGGTGTTGAAGGCCAAACTCCGAGGAAACTCGTCTTAAATCAGACTAGGACTGTGATACGAGTAAGGGTATTACATCCCAGCCTTAAACATCCTGTTGTTTTATCACTCCGATCACAACTTTGTTGTTGTTAGGTGCCATCGAGTTGGTACCGACCCATAGTGACCTTATGCACAGCAGAATGAAACACTGCCTGATCCTGGGCCAACCATCAATGCTGCCACCTAGCCAATCCATCTCGTTGGGGGTCTTCCTCTTTTTCTCTGACCCTCCACATTACCAAACACGATAGCCTTCCCCAACGACTGTTCCCTCCTGACAATATGTCCAAAGTATGAGAGACGAAGTTTGGCCATCTTGGCCTCTAAGGAGCATTCTGGCTGCACGTCTTCCAAATGGATCTATTGGTTCTTTTGGCAGCCCATGGCACTTCAATATTCTCCTCCAACACCATAACTCAAAAGCATCAATTCTTCTACAGTCTTCCTTATTCACTGTCCAGCTTTCACATGCATATGAGGTTATTGAAAATACCATGGCTTGGGTCAGGTGCACCTTAGTCCTCAAGCTGACTTCTTTGCTCTTCAACACTTTAAAAATATCTTGTGTGGCAGATTTGCCTAACACAGTACGTCATTTGATTTTTTGACTGTTGCTTCCATGAGTGTTGATAGTTGATCCAAGAAGAATGAAGTCCTTGATAACTTCAATCTTTTCTCCATTGATAAGAATGCTGTTTATTGGTCCAGTGGTGAGGATTTTTGTTTTCTTTACATGGAGATGTAATCCATACCGAAGGCTGTGCTCTTTGATCTTTATCAGTAAATGTTTTAAGTCCTCTTCACTTTCAGCAAGCAAGGTTGGATCATATGCATATCTCAGGTTGTTAATGAGTCTTCCTCCAATCCTGATGCCACGTTTTTCTTCATAGAACCCAGCTTCTTGGATTATTTGCTCAGCATACAGGTTGAATAAGTATGCTGAAAGAATACAACCTTGTCACACACCTTTCTTAATTTGAAACCATTCAGTGTGTTCCCATGTTCTGTTCGAACAACTGCCTCTTCGTCCAGGTACAGATTCCTCATGAGCAAAATTAAGTGTTCCAGAATACTCATACTTCACAGTGTTGTCCATAGCTTGTCATAATCCACACAATCGAAAGCCTTTGCATACTCAATAAAGCACAGGTAAACGTCTTTCTGATATGCTCTGCTTTTAGCCAAGATCCATCGGACATCAGCAATGATATCCCTCATTCCACGGCCTCTTCTGAATCCGGCTTGAACCTCTGGAAGTTTTCTGTCAATGTATGATTGTATTGATCACATCTTAGGGACTCATTAAATAGCTGTCACATTTACATCATTGCATAACTGCCAAACCACCAAATCATGGCCCAGTCAAGTCAACACATTTGGCGGGGACACAGTTCAATCCTTGCAGGCATAGGTTACCTTTTCAACACTGGCTGCCTTGGGGAACTGACTCTTCTCCTACCCAGCTTCACTGACTCAGCATCCCAATACACCTTCTACATGTAGCGCATCAACTATGTCTTCACAGGCTCTTCTAGACTCTGTCCCAACTGTCCCGCCTTCTTTGTCTGGCCACTCCCCCCAAGCAGCTGGTACACTGATTCCTGAAGGCACTGCCTTTACTGGACCCCCTTCAGCATTGCCACTGGGCCTGAGGGTAAAGGACCTTTGCCTTCTAACCCCACCCCCCACCCTCCAAAAAAAGAAGCTGGCTCGCTGTCCTTCCCTATGGGACATTTGAAAAGTACTTAAGTCTGGCCCATCATGTGTGGGAACAAGGAGACTCAGACGTCTTTTCTGCAGGACTTGTAAGGGCCTTGAATGTGCACTTGTGTGTTGGGAATATTCAAGATGTTTATCACAGGAAGTGACAGAGGAAGTCAGGTCTTGTGAGAAGCTCTCTCTCAGCCCCTGCTGAACCCCACTCTGAAAGGGACCCCAGGTTCTTCTCTCAGGGATCCCCAGACTCATCACAGCACCCTCATCTCTGGGCAGCTCCCCAAACCTTCTAAGGCCTCTCCTTGATGTGACATCAGTGCTGCAGACTGTGGCTCTCTGAGGGTCCCCATCTCTGAGTCTGAATCTGTTTCCCCCAGACCCCCCTGAGGTCTCCATCTCTGGCTATGATGACAACTGGTACCTCGGACGCAGTAAAGTCACGCTGAACTGTAACGCCCGCAGCAACCCAGAACCCACAGACTACATGTGGAACACGTGAGTCTGGGGTGGACCTGGGCTCCGGGGTCTGAGGGAGTAGGGGCTGGAGGCTGAACTTTTGGGTCTGAGGGAGGAAGGCTGGGGGCCTGGGCTGCTGGGTCTGAGGGCGGAGGGGCTGGGAGCTGAACTGGATCTGAGAGAGGAGGAGCTGGGGGCTGGGCTCCTAGCTCTGAGGGACGGGGGCTGGGGGCCTGGACTGCTGAGTCTGAGGGTGGTGGGGGTTGCTGGAAAGTAAAGAGAGAGAGATTGCCTTCAGGGCCTCTCTCTCCCCGCCCTTGGCTCCATCCTGAGCTCTCAGCGCTGCCCCTCTTGTGAAAACCTAGGAAGGGCCCCCACCGTGACACACATGGAGCCACTAGGAGTAGGAACCGGCTGGACAGCAACTAGTGGTTCTGCGTGAGCATCAGAGAGCAAAATCCAGGGTTGCTCTCACATCATACAAGGGGGCTTCCAAATGTTTGTGGAAAATTCCATATATTTTCAGTCCCTTTTTCCACAAACTTTTGAAAGTCCCTTCATAGGGACCACGAAGGTTTCTGTGTATCTGCTTCTAGTGAATGTCCAGTCACCATCCCTGTTGTTGTGGTTAAGTGCCGTTGAGTTGGTTCCGACTTATGGGGTTTCCAAGGCGGCTAATAGGTTTGAACCACAGACCTTGTGGTCCAGTGCATTAACCCATACCGCCACACCAGGATTTTCACCTGTCCCTGGAGGTCTCCAAAAGAGGCCACCTCCTCTCTGTCTCTGTCCTCCACCAGGACCTTGGGTCTCCTGCCTCCCTCTACTGTCGCCCAGAGCCATCAACTCCAGATCCAGACTGTGGACGAGTCAACCAACACAACATTCATCTGCAGTGTGACCAATGCCATAGGGACTGGCCGGGCAGAGCTGACCGTCCTGGTCAATGGTGAGGAGCACACTGGGTAGGGAGAGAGGGGACCAAAGCAGAAGGAGGCAACAGGATTTCTTTTGAGGGAGGAGTTTGGAGATGATCCCTGACTAAGAGAATCCCCTAGCCATAAGAAAACTCTCTGACCCACATGTTTCCCTGATTTTCTCATGAAAGCATCTACAGGGTCAGCTTTACACCCCCTAACTCAGGCTGGGATAGTTATGAGATGCCTCCTGTCCGAGAACTCAGAGAGACCTTTCTGTCTGGACAAGGGGACTTTAAAGCAGTCTAAATCAAAAAGGGACTTTATTGAAAATCCACCTTCAGGTATAGCTGGTGGACCTAGGAATGCCAACCATGCAGCCCAGAGACTCTTCCTCACATCTCTTGTCTCTTTTCTCTGTGCTGACTGTCTTCTCAGTCACACTTTCATCCTGGAGGAGGAAGCAAGATGGCCTTCAGCAACTACAGGCTCATATCCCACCAGTTTAGGAAAATACACTATTTTCCATAACATTAGCTAAAGTCCCCAAACTGACTCTCATTGGCCCAACTTAAATCACAGTCTACCAATGAAGATGAACCAATCTCTGTGGCTGGGGACAATGGAATGTTCTGATTGGCCAGAATTAAGTCACAGCACGCCTATGTACCAATCTCTGTGGTTGGGGACAGCAGAATGTTCTGATTGGCCAGAACTAGGTCACAGCCCACCTATTAACCAGTCACCATGGCTGAGGAGAATGGAATGCTCTGATTGGCCAGGACTGGGATAAAGACCCAGAGGGTGAGTCAAGGAGGTGAATAATAGCCCAGGACATTGTGTCTTTCTGCTGTGCTTGGGGTCGCTATGAGTCGGTTCCGACTCGATGGCACCTGACAACAACAACAACAGAGGGAATATGGAGTGCTGTTCCAAAAGGGGTTGCTTTTCCTGGTACAGTGAAAGCCCCAAAAGTCTTCTTACCTAAATATTGCTTCCTTTCTCTCTTCCAGACAGACCTGGGGCCCAGTCACGCCTACACATCTGCCTGTACATCATCATCCCCGTGATTGCGATGCTGCTAGTGGGGGTCCTGCTTTGGTTCTTCTGTTTCAGAAACAATTTCGTGAGTCCCCTCTTCTTTGGTGTATACCCCATCTGTGTGCCTTGAATGAGTTGTTGTTGTTGTTTTGTGCTGTGGAGTTGGTTCCGACTCATAGCGACCCTGTACAGGGTTTCCGAGGCTGTAAATCTTTACAGGAGCAGAAAGCCTCATCTTTCTCCTGCGGAACAGCTGGTAGTTTCCAACTACTGATGTTGAGATTAGCAGCCTGATTACCAGAGCTCCTTGAATGAGTATCACCACCTAAAAACCCATTCCCTACGAGCCAGTTCCAAGTCCTAGCGACCCTAGATATGGTTTCTGAGACTGGAAATCTTTATAGGAGCAGACCATTTCATCTTTCTCCCGAGGAATGGCTGGTCCTTGCAATTAACAGTCCAGTATTTAACCCAGTGTACCACCAGGCTCCCTGATCATCCTCACGACCACCATCAACTTGTTGCCATCTATTCAGCTTCAACTCAGGGCAACCCCCTGCCTGTCAGAGTAGAACTGTGTTCCATGGTGTTTGTTTTTGTTTTTGCTGTTGTTGATTTTTAATTGTAGCAATATTTATACAACAAAACCTTTGCCATTTCAGCCATTTTTGCATGTACAACCCAGCCATGCCATCGACACTCCCCATGTTTCAGAACCTTCACCAGAATCCATTTCCAAATCTTTTGTCTCTGTGGCACTGTAGGATCAGCCCTGGACTTAGAACCACAAGGTCTGCATTTCAAACCCATCAGCTGCCCCTCAGAAACCCTCCACAATGTTGCTGTGAATAGGAACTCCTTTATTTGCCCCCCCACCTTCTTTCCATTTATGGGGAAGATTCCAGTGGTTTGTCCTATTGAGAAAACATACATCATTTCCTTTCCAGTAGATGAAAAAGAAACAGACTAAAAAAATAATATTTCCTTCTTCTCTTTTCCTTTCTTTTCTTTTTAACTGTCCCACCCTGTCACTCAGATAAGCACGCATCTATACTACCCAGTGAATGAGTCTCCCTCCTTCCCACCCCTGGGAACCATCATAGAAAGTTTATTACAGATTAAAAACCTTTTCCTGGATTTTTACAATCATGGTCTCATACAGTATCTGTCCCTTTACGACCAGCTTCCATAGGCTGATTTTTCCAAAGTCTTTCTTCTCAAGTGCCTCAGGGTAGATTCAAACCACAAACCTTGTGGCTAACAGCCAATCATGTTAACTGTTTGCACCACTAATGGGCCCGGCAGCTGCCATGATTGGTGTGTTAGTTTCCAACTGCTGTCGTTACACAAAGATCACGAGTGGCTTTGAAGAACAGAAATTGGTTGGATCACAGTTTGGGTGGCTGGATATTCATATCAGAGTTTCAGCCGTATTGAGTTAGCCGTCCAGACTGAGCTCCGGACATCCCTTGGTTCCTTGGCTTATAGACCAGCTCACATCATGTCTGTCTTTTCTCTGTGTGTGTGGGTGTGTGTGTCTGAGTTTCTTCTGCTCTTTTTATAACTCAGAAGTGATTAGATTTAGAACCCCGTCTACTTGGGTATGACGTAATTAAGATAACAAAAAAGTCTGGGCAGAAGGAATACCGTAATTCCTGGGGTAGCACTGTTTTCCTTCAAAACTCTATATATCAAGTCATTGTAAATCAGAATCAACTCACCGTCACTTAACAGTAATTCCAAATAGGATCATTTTCCTAGGCATGCTGCTGTGGGTTACCATCAAGTGGGTTCTGACTCATGGGGACCCAGTGTGGACAGGGTAGAACTACCCCAAAGAGTTTTCTTGGCTGAAATGAAACCGACCTTGGGGTCCAGTGCTTATCCTCCAGCGCAACACCTGGACTCCAAAAATAGAGAGAGAGACTCTTTATTAAGTCTTGATGGCGGTGGTGGCTATGTGCCGTGGAGTCACTTCCGACTCATAGTGACCCTGCATAGGGTTTCCGAGGTTGTAAATATTTATAGGAACAGAAAGTTTCACCTTTCTCCCTCGGAACCACTGGTAGTTTCAAACTACTGATGTTGAGATTGGCAGCTTGACTCATAACCACCATGCTACCAGAGCTCCTATTTTGTCATGTTGTTAAGTGCCATTGAGTCATTTCTGACCCATAGTGACCCTGTATAGGATTTCCAAGGAGCAACTGGTGAGCTTGAACTGCCAATCTTGCAGTTCAAACGACTTTGCAGTCTGGTGCATTAACCCACAGCGCCACACCAGGACTATTATATCTTAGATAGGAGTAAACTCAAGGCAAAGACAAACAGATCATCTGAGTGAGGGAACTCACACACACCATGATGTGTTTCCCTTGGCTGTGATGTTTATGGAAGTAAATCACCAGGCCTTTCTTCTGAGGTACAAACTGCCTCAACTGGTTACCAGTTGTGCCACCTTTGGTGGTTGGTTGGTGGTTATGTGCCATGGAGTTGGTTCCAACTTATAGCAACCCTGTATAGGGTTTTCAAGGCTGTAAGTCTTTATGGGAGAAGAAAGCCTCATCTCTCTCCCAGAGAGCGGCTGGTAGATTTGAACTGTTGACCTTGCAGTGAGAAGCTCAACTTGTAATCCACTATGCTACCAGAGCACCTTAGACAGGACTACCTTTACAGGTAAAAAATTAAACGAAGTCCAGTGTCATCAAAGTGACCCTAAAGGATAGAGTAGAACTGCCCCAGAGGGCTGTAAATCTCTCAAGCAAACTGCCACATCTTTCTACCTCAGAGCCACTGGTGGGTTTGAACCGCTGGCCTTTCAGAACATAGCTGAGTACTTTAACCACTGCACAACCCAATCTCCTCCAGAAAGATGACAGCCATCAAAATGGATGGAGCAGGTAACACATGAGTCCTAGCGGACTCAAGAGCAGCAGGTGTGGTTTGAGTTAGACACCTAAAATCACGTGGTTCCTCCTCCTGTCTCTAAGCATTGTCGTTTATTCTTAACTCCTCCTGTCTTCCCAGGCCTGAACTAGAACCACCTTGGTTAACGGGAAAAGTGCCAATGGAGTAAGTATCGATGGGGTTAGTTCTTAGAGTGGGGGCAGGGCAATGCTAAGGAGGGTATGGGCAGTTGGCACAAACCACAGACAATTGCTGGGGCTTTCCCAACGAGGAGGAGCCCTAGTGACACAGTTGTTAAACTCAAGGTCGGGTTCAAACCCATCAGCCTCTCCACAGGAGAAAGATGTGGCTGTCTGCTCTGCAAAGACATGCAGTCTTGGAAAGCTTAAGAATGGAGTTCTATTCTGTCCCTCAGGATTGCTATGAGTTGGAATCGACCTAAGCCCTGTGGCTTGGGGTTTTTTGTTTTGTTTTGTTTTTTAATGTTTTATTGTGAATTATGTGATAGTTTACACAGGAGAACATTAAGTTTTACATTCATTCTATAGTATATAATTCCATTGCTATGGTTATAATCCCCTCCATGCATCATCAACCTACCAAAGGGTATACCCTACAAGCCTGCCCCCCGGGTCATCAGCACACAGCCCCTTTCCCTCTCTGGATCTAAAGTCCCCAGCCGCTCCATCTCTCCACATCATCGTCTCTGCCTCCATCTCTGGCGTCACTGCTTCTCTGGGTAGGGTCCTGCTCTCCGCTCTTCTCCCTTGATGGTCCCAGGGACCTCCGCTCCTAGACTGCAAAGTCAACCACTCCCCTCCTTGCTACAAAATGTCTACCTTTACATTTCCAACCCTCACAATCAGTCCTGATAACAATTATTCACTATTGTATCACAAGAGACCTATCCGCATTTCCTTTCATCAGCCGCCGCCCCCCCAACCCCAGACAGATTGGATACAACTCAGTGGATCTTCTTTCTTCTTCCACGCCCCACTTGCAACTCTTAACCGGAACTCAGCACAGTACCACAAACTGGGTTTGGATCTTCTTTACAAAGGCCGCAGAACCCCTGCACCCCCTTTGCCATCGAGTCGATTCCACCTCATGGGCACCTCATGGGCACCTCATGGGCAGAGTAGAACTGTACCATAGGGTTTCCAAGACTGTGACCTTTCAGAAGCAGATTGCCACGTCTTGCTTCCAAGGCACCTTTTGTTGTTGTTGTTGCTAAGTGCCGTTGATTCGATTCCGACTCACGCAACCCTGTATAGGGTTTCTGAGGACCAGCTAGTGAGTTTGAACTGCTGACCTTGCAGTTCAAAGCGACCTGTGGTCCAGTGCATTATCCTGCAGCGCCACATCAGAACACCAAGGCCCCTCTGGTTTCAAACTACCAAACTTTGAGTTAGTGTTTAAATGATTAGTGTTTAACCATTTGTGACCCAGAGGCTCCCAGAATCCCTGTAATGTACTAAAGTGCACGTTCCTGGGCCTACCCTCTGAGAGCCGGGGCTGGTGGGTCTGGGTTTGGGCCTAGGGGTCTGAATTTCTTTAGGTGCTGCCCTCTCTTCCTCTTCACCCACCCCTAAATGGCCACACCTGGCAAAGTTCTAACCTGGCTTCCAAGGAGAAAAGAGGGGGCTTGTGAAGAAAGCTGAGTGGCCTTCTTCCCATAGCTGTTACATGTTAAGTTTCAGGGTTAGAGATTCCTCTGATTTTGCTTGAAAGGTCCTCACAGCTGACGTCTGAAAATCTCCCTCTAGGCTGTCTCCTCTTCGCCTGTGGCCCCTTCAGAACAACTCGACTTAGAACCTGCCAACAGAGGGCACCAGGAATCGGAGCAAATGGAGCAAGAGATCTGAGCTTCAAGGACCTAGCCTCCTCAGGGAAGACCTTCTCCAAAGACATCAGCTGCCAGGCCTGGTGCAGGTCCCCTCTGCTAGGCAACACAGTGGCTGGGTGTAAGACCCTAAGACCACTCACAGAGCTCAGCAAAGGGTATCTACTCAGGGATGCAATTTATTGCATTAATAGCCTGCAGCTTAAAATCGGAGATGGGAAAAGGTACCTGAAGCAGGAGGCTATTGCAGGACATTTCGTTGTTGTTAGGTGCTAGCTAGCCGGCTCCGAACCATAACAACAACAGATGGAAACACAGCCTGGTGCTGCGCCATCCCTACAGTTGCTGCTTTCACTGAGTCAATTAATCTTGTTAAGGCTTTCTCTGTTTTTCACTGACCCTGCACTTTATCAAGCATGATGTCCTTCTCTAGGGACTGAACCCTCCTGGCAATATGTCCAAAGTATGAGAGACAAAATTTGTCCATCTTGGCTTATAAGGAGCATTTCTTTGGTCTTCTTGCAGTCCGTGGTACCTTTAGTCTTCTTCCCCAACACCATAACTCAAATGCGTAATTCTTCTACGGTCTTCCTTATGCACTGTTCAACTTTTACTGTGTTATGAGGCTCTTGAAAATGCCATGTGATCTTCAGCAGAATTTCTATCACTAAGGCCATATTTTCCAACTACTGACCTTTGTTTTCAACTTTTGTATTTCAGTCACCACTAATTACCAATACATCATGATGGCAGGTTTGACCAGTCTCACACTGAAGATGTTGGTAGAAATCTTCCATGTCATCATCATTGACTTTAGTGGTTGGTCCATAAATTTAAATGTTGTTAGGTGCCATTAAGCCGGTACCAACTCATAGTGACACTGTGCACAACAGAACAAAACACTGCCTGATCTTTCAGCAACCTAACAATTGTTGCCATACTTGAATAATAGTGGTATTAACTGGTCTTCCTTGTAGGTGTATATTTATTATCCTATCATAGACAGCATTATACTTCAAGATAGATCTTAAAAGGTTATTTCTGATGATGAATGTAATACCATTTCTCTTCAGTTTGTCTTTCCTGGTATAGTAAACCATGTGAATATGGAGGACTTTGAAGCTACTCACCACTTGAGCAAGTTTTACACAGAACAACTCTATTTTTTATTATAATAATGAGAGAAATGGGGAACAAAGAAACTGGGCCTTTTTTCCTGGAATTGGCCCAGTTGGGAGGGATTACAGTAAGCGAATGTGCGAGCAACCATTTTGCAAGCTGGGACGTTGATCTGATGGTATCCTCATTATGGAATGTATTCGACAACACCCCCTACTGGAAGGTGATAGCTTGGTCAGGGTTGGCGATTCTGTGCATGCTCGGAATCAGATTCAATTTTGTTCTGATCTCATGAGTTTCTGAAAGGCGATTTTTAGGATGGTTTTGCACGGGACAGTGGGCACAACTACAGTCTTCAAGGTTGTGGGCTGTGAGACAAAGTCTCTCTCCCTAGGGACGCCTCTGCGTCTAGAGCAGTTTTATATTTAACTGTGCTTTAGCAAACGTGCTGGGCATCCTGCTTTCACTCTGATCCTTATTTAATTAATTTATTTTTCCAGTGAATCCTGACTCTGAAGCAGGGTAGGTTCCAGACTCCAGCTTCAAGCTGGTTGTCCAAGGTTTTATTTGGGGGTCTGACACATGACTGACCACCTTCGTGGCTGTTTTTTCTCTCCAGACTCTTTCCAAAGGTCCAGGATTCCCACCACAAATCACACGGCTAGCAAGGACCCCCGGAATAGCCCAGCGCCCCCAGAGAAACAAAGACACTCCCAGCACATGCAAAGTGCCAGGTTTAGAGACCCCTTGCCAAGAGCCCGATGACCAAATCCTTCTCTGGTGAAAAAGAACCAGAAGGTTCCAACAGCCAGAGAATCTGTGTGATGACTTGAACTCTGCCTGGAGCAGCCACATTTCTAAGGCTTGACTCTTTGTGGTTTGTTCTAGGAGGGGAAATATTAATAAATTCAAATAGATTTAATAGACACAAAGATGATGGCAACACATCCAGATAAGAGAGACCACCAGGTGCTATTGAATCCGCTCCAATTCATAGGGGCCTATGCACAAGGAGCTCTGGTAGCGTAGTGGTTATGAATCAGGCTGCAAACCGCAGGTCAGCATTCAAAACTACCAGCGGTTCCACGGGAGAAAGATCAGGCTTTCTGCTCCCATAAAGATTTACAGCCTCAGAAACACTGTACAGGGTCGCTATGAGTCGGAAGCAACTCCACGGCCCATAACCACCACCATACCCAACAGAACTAAACACTGCCAGGTTCTGCACCATCCCCACAATTGTTAGTCTGAGTCCATTATTGCTGTGACTTTGCCAGTCCATCTCATTGGCGGGGGAGGGTCTTTGTCTTTTTTGTTGACCCTCCAGTTTGCGAAGCAGAGTATTTCAAGACCAAGACCATGGACTTTCAGAAAAACAAACAAATTTGTCTTGGAAATACAGCCAGAATGCATCTTAGAAGTGAGGATGGGGAGCCTTGATCTCTCACACTTTGGATGTGTTGTCAGGAGGGACCAGTTCCCAGAGAAGGACATCCTGCTTGATAAGGGGCCACTGAAAAAGAAGAAACCCCTTACAAGATGGATGGTCATCATGCAGCACCATGGACCCACACATCACAATGATTGTGAGGACGATACAGGACTGCGCTGTGTTTCATTCTGTTGTGTGTGGGGTCACTGTGAGTCAGAACCAGCTTGATGGCATCTAGTAACAGCAACCTGGCAAGTGAAGCTCTCACCGGGTTCACCCTGAGAACCTTAGTGCAACGCAGTCGACCTCAACTTTCTTTTTTCTTTTTGAACATTTTTATTGTGGTTTGGGGGAACTTCCCAAAGCAAACTCATTTCCCATTTGTCATAGATTGAATTGTTACCCCGCCCCTCAAGATATGTATCAACTCGGCTGGGTCATGATTCTGTGTAATGATATAATGTGGTAATTATGTAAAAACCGCATAAATTATACAAGGATTAAGGGTGGGCTGCAATATCCGTAAGTCCCTGTGTGGTGCTGGAGGATAAGCACTGAACCTCAGAGTCAGTTTGAACTGCAAGGTCGGCAGTTCAAACTCACCAGCTGCTCCTTGGAAGCCCTATACAGACTTGCTGAGTCAGAACCAATTTAACTACAACAATAATAGCAATACCCATAATCCCATGGCAATGCTAATCCCATGGAAGGCAGTTTCTCAAGGGTATGGCCTGAAACACATTTTATTTTACAAGCAATAAATAAAGACAGAAGTGAGCAGACAAGGACAGACCTACTGCCAAGAACAAAGAGCCAGGAATGGCATGTGTCCTTTGGACCTGGCGTCCCTGCTCTGTGAAGCTCCTAGATCCAGGAAAGGATTGGTGCCAAGATGCATGGAGCACTCCAAGGAGCACTAGTCTACAGATGCTCAAAGGAGACAGGGTCCTACCTTTCTTCAGAATTTTTTCTGAATTCAGACTTGTCTCCTAAACTGTGAGAAAATAAATCTCTGTTTGTGAAAACCCTCCCCTTGTGGTATTTCTGTTACAAGTGCACTGGAAAACTAAGACACCATTCAACGATGTACACGTTTTGTTTCATGACATTGGTTGCAACTCCCTCAGTGTGACAGCACTCTTCCTACCTCCTCCCTGGGATCCCTGTTTCTATTTGTCCTTTATCTCTATCCTACCTTCTGAACTTTCAGGGGGCGGGGGAGCAAATGTTACCCTTTCCATCTTGTGTGGGTGGTTGTCCTGGGCAGTACTTTCCTCTATTTCCCTTGTTCAGTTTATAGGCCTTTCGGTTGTTTGACTGAAACGTGGTATCAGTTCCAGGATTGAAGGGTGACTAAGGACCATAATTTTGAAAGTTCCACCAGTCTTATCTGACCAGGAAGCCTGTATGATTTAGAATTTTATTTGACGTTTTTCTCCTGCTGTGTCCAGGATCTTCAACTGTGATTCCCATCAGAGTTATCAGTAGTAGCCGGGCACCATCTAGCTCTTCCCGTCTCAGGCTAATGAAGCTGTGGTCCATTGATGGTGGTGGTGATTTACCACCGAGTCGGTTCCGACCCATAGCGACCCTGTACAGGGTTTCCGAGGCTGTAAATCTTTACGGGAGCAGAAAGCCTCATCTTTCTCCTGCGAGACAGCTGGTAGTTTCGAACTGCTGACCTTGCGGTTCACAGCCCAATTCGTAACCACTACGCTACCGGAGCTCCTTGTGGTCCATTAGTTCTTTGGATTAATTGTTTTCTTGAGTCTTTGATTTTCTTCACTCTTCTCTGCCCCAGATGGAGAGACCAATTGTTGTATCTTCGATAGCCACTTTCAAGCTTTGAAGACCCCAGTTGCTGGAACTTTCTTTCTGGAGTCCCTTGAGACCATGATCCTAAGCCCCTACGTCCAAAGACTGAGTCCCTTAACATGTAATATGTTTTGTTATAACTAAGAAGTCTTCATAACTTTGCCCGCTATATATGCTCTACTATATTTCTGTGTATATGTTGTTTTTGGAGTCCTGTCTGGGACTGTGGGCTAATGCGCCAGACTGCAAAGTCATTTGAACTGCAAAGTTGGTGATTCAAGATCACCAGCTGCTCCTTGGAAACCCTGTACAGGGTCACTATGGGTCGGACCTGACTTGACGGCACATAACAACAACAAATGTTTTTAAGTGCCATCGAGTCTGTTCTGACTCATGAATGGGTTTCTAAGGAGCAGCTGGTGGGTTTGAACTGCAAACTTTGTGGTTTAGTGGGCCAGTGCTGATCCTACAGCGCCACATCCGGAGTTCACAGGATATGTGAGAGGACTTCAGAAAGTCCATGAAAAAATTCCATAATTTTTCAGTTCCATTTTCGTGAACTTTTTGAAGCCCCCTCAAATTTGCAGCACACACAAACATCTGTAGGTGTATCCTCTGTCAGACGTTTGCTGTGCACACTCGTGTGAGTGTGGTCTTGTTTGACATTTCGCAGCTGTTCCACTTGCATGTGTAGCTCTATAGCTACTTGTAGGTTGTTGTGTCTTATTGCTCCTGCCGCAAGACTGAATCGTGTTTATCAGTGTTGCCTTTTACTCTTGTGCGGCACTCAGAGTTTGCCTTGCTCACGGAAGGCACAATTGTGCCACATAAATACCTCCAATAGAAAGAAAGTTCCCA